GCACAGTTCAGGGGAGGAGCTTGGTAAGAAAACACAGGCTGTCATCTGCCTGTGTCCTAACCATCAGCACAGGCTGCTCTGTGAACAAAAAAATACAGAGAAAGAGGAAAGAAAGAGGATGAAGGGATAGGGGGAAAATGGGTTTGAGAAGAAATATGGAGAGAAGAAGCTTATTCGGGAAGATGGAAGGTAGCATTGTTATTGCTAACCTTAAGAACCAAGAGGCATGAAATCCATTTTGGCCCATTTTTAACTGTCAAACAGATATTTAAAGGAGGAAACGAAGTAAACAAAATTATAGGAGGATACTTTTGCCTCTTTTTTGATCTGTCATTCTGGGTTAAAACTTCCATGCATGCATACGTGCAGTTATGTCTCTAGATTTTGTTTACTGTAACCTGATTCCTGCAATTAAGGATCTTCTTTACTCATTTTTTAAGTAGAACTGTCTTTTCCTACCCCTTACACATTCATTTAACTCTTGGATTGAGTGCTTGAATGACTTGTTTTTTTGAATAAACCTGATTTCTTGCTAAGTTTCCTAGAGGAACTGATTAACAGTTCTTTCTCAGAGCTTGCATATGTAGATAAGGATAGATGTCTTGAAGATTAGCTGATACAGGTGGCAAAAAAATGCACAAACTTTCAGGCACAAAATCTCCTTTACAGATAATAAGTGCTCAGGAGATACCTCAGTGTAACTTTCTAGTTCTTATGTAGAAAATAAGTTTGAAAAATGTAGAAAGAAGCTGTTATATTGGGTCACTGTAACTTGTCACTAGTACAAGCTACTTATATAGAATAAATGTAATAAAATGTTAGAATACTTAAGCATTTTGTTACTTTATATCTGTAATTTTAAGAAGCACAAGTATAAATAATACAGTGCTTTTAATTGGGTTTTTTGGTCTGTGTACTAGGAAAAAAAAATACGTGAAGGGCAGTCTTAACAAACTATTCCGTTACTGGCAGCTCAGTCTGTAAATAAACCAATTTTGGAATAAATCCAAAACAAGAGCATAAGGGGAAAGGTATTGTTGGATGCTGTAGTGAAATGGAATGGGGTTTTTCACCTTGGGGATTATTTGCTGAAAATAGCGGATGTCCTACCATTAAGCTAAAACATAACATGTTTAAACATCCTTCTACCTGCACATAGAAACACCTTATTTCAAGGTCTTGGGTCACTGAAGTGTCATGTTGTAGCTACTTCTGGAAGAAGGACTTTAACAAGAAAAAAAAGAGTCAAATATAAATATTTTTTGCAAAGTAATTGTAACTAGGATTTGTTACCAGTCTATCTGTAATGATAACAATTTAAATCGGGTTTTGTAAGGTTTACTTGTAAATAGTGGGAGACAGATTCCCTAATTGTGAAAATGTGACAGTAAATGACAAACCAGACTGTGTGCAACATTCACATGGTGGCGTTAAATAGAAGGAGCAAGGAGAAGAGTGGAACATGTCAGCTAGGGTGGGGTGGTGGGAGGAAGCAAAAATGTGTGTGTGTACATACATCTAAGTATATCTATATAAAAAATTACATAAAAATAAATTAAGGAGGAGCCACTTATCCTGGAAAAGGGCAGAACGTGTGTGGAGAAGTAGTAAAATGGAGTGAGCTGAAACTGGAAGCTATGATTGATGGAGAAAACTGTTTATTAAAAAGTTTGAGAGCAGATTTCATCTCTCTGAGAACTTGGGAAAATGCCAAGTTGATTCTTCATATGTGATAGTCTTCTCTGCAGATAGCAGAATGAGATTCTCACAGATGTTGTCATATTGAGTGCTGCTGTATCTGGTAGCTTACAGTTATTCACAGAAAAAGCCAAAATTTCGTGGTGAATTACTGACCATGTTAAATCAGAGGGTAAGTCAGGAAAAGAATGGATGATGAAATCTACCTCTCTGCAGCTTCTGAAGTTATTTATCTTAGAAGATCCGGAGTAGCTTTTATCTAGTATTATTCTATTGCTTGTGCCCAGAATGCCTTACGTGAATTCAGTTGATTAAATTACTGTCTTTAATTGGCCTTGCAGCTCTCTGTGTATGTTCTGATTTGCAAACAGCAGTGCTGAGTGTGGCTTTGATTGCTGGATGTTTGTTCTGCTTCTCCCACTGCTGCTGTACAGAAGCATGAAGGATGCTGGCTGAATTGCCTTTCTGAATTGCCTCCTCTCACCTTGCAAATACATTTTTTAAAAGGAAAAAAATGCAGGTCACTCATCACGCTTTTGTGATTGTAATGTGGAAAGCCTTCTACAATTGAACTTTCTCTCCAGGTTACTTCTAGTTTTTCACAGGTATTTCCACTTTCATCTGTTACTCAAATCTACGTTCTCTTCTTTTTGATTTAGACTTTTTCTTTGATCCAGGTGAAGTCTAAATTTGCTGCTTCCTGCAGTCTCCGTAGGCTGAGGTACTGGGCCTGTAGAGGTCAGTTGAGGATTTTAAGATTATTCTAATGGAACCAGGATTCTACTTCTGGTACCCTTGGGTACCTCCACATTTTCTCACTTTACTCACTGGCAAACCTATTGTCTAATCCTGGCCTTCTTGCAGCGCGATATGGTAGTGTTACTTCTTTGCTTCTCTTGAAGTGAAACCATCCCTTTAAAATGGCTCAGAATGGCTCTGCTGGAGCCATATCTGTCACGTTGCCGTCTGTTCCTTTAATGTCCTCCTTTGCCGCTTTCTCTGTCCATAGGTCAGACATACCCGTCCATTGATTTTGTCTTCAAAACTTTTTGTTAGCTTAGTTCTGCCTTGGCTGTTTATTCCAGGTTTTCCAGGTTTTTTTGTTTTGTTTTGTTTTGTTTTTTTTCTACCAACAGTGCCAACTTCAGGTTTCTGTTTATGAACTTCTCCAATGTGCTTTCCCCAGATCTGCTCTCCGCACATAAGGAAAAACTGTCAGAACCTGTGAAATTGCTATCTCAACATTCAAGCTCTTTTAGATCTCACCTTTGCTATAATGCATACAGAAAATCACCATCTGCTAAGTAGGTAGTGAGAAGTAATTGTGGCAGGTGGCTGGGCTGCAGATGGTATACAAATCTAGTAGACGCAATGTTTGTTATTCCATCTTTTATTTCCTTGCCAGCACACCAACTCCTTTTGTCCACTGCATGCCTTGTTTTATACTGTAAGTTCTTTTGGACAGAGCTGTTGTTCAGTATATTCCTCTTGTTGGATATCATAACCCTGTCTGGTTGATTTTATTTTTTTTTTTTTTTGTCTGGAGTGGTTTGTAACAACAGATACTTTGTCCTGAACATGAATTTCACCTAACCTGCATGCTTTAAGGAGCCTGTTTGCTAATTCTCACAAAATAGAGAAGTGGGAAATTCAGTTTTGAACAAGTATCTACTGTGGTTAATAAGGTGAAACACAGGAAACTTCTTTTTCTTTACATGCTTTTTCCTAGGTGAGCTGCCTTCCTTTCTTTTGATTTATCTGCATTCGTTTTCTCTGCATTGTGTCCTGTGTCTTTGTGAACTCATGAAATAGTAATCTGCACTTTCCCTCTTACAAATGCTGTTATTTGAAAAGCTCCATTATCATAGAATCACAAAGTGGTTTGGGTTGGAAGGGACCTTTAAAGGTCATCTAGTCCACCCCCCCTGCAATGAGCAGGGACATCTTCAACTAGATCAGATTGCTCAGAGCCCTGTCCAGCCTGACCTTGAATGTTTCCAGGGCTGGGCATCTACCACCTCTCTGGGCAACCTGTGCCAGTGTTTCACCACCCGCACTGTAAAAAATGTCTTCCTTATGTGTAGTCTAAATCTACCCTTTTTAAATTTAAAACTATTACCCCTTGTCCTATCGCAACAAAGCCTAGTAAAAAGTCTGTCCCCATCTGTCTTATAAGCCCCTTTAAAGTATTGAAAGGCCACAATAAGGTCTCCTTGGAGCCTTCTCCAGGCTGAACAACCCCAACTCTTTCAGCCTTTCTTCACAGGAGAGTTGTCCCATCCTTCTGACCATCTTTGTGGCCCTCCTTTGGACCTGTTCCAACAGGTTCATGTCCTTCTTATGTTGGGGGCCCCAGAGCTGGATGCAGTACTCCAGGTGGGGTCTCACTGGAGGGGACTAGAGGGGGAGAATCACCTCCCTTGACCTGCTGGTCACACTTCTTTTGATGCAGCCCAGGACACGGTTGGCCTTCTGGGCTGCAGGCACATATTGCCAGCTCATGTCCAGTTTTTCATCCCCCAAGTCCTCCTCCGCAAGGCTGCTCTCAATCCCTTCATCCCCCAGCCTGTATTGGTAGCAGGGGTTGCCCTGACCCATGTGCAGGACCTTGCACTTGGCCTTGTTGAAACTCATGAGGTTCACATGACCCCCCTTCTTGAGCTTGTCCAGGTCCCTCTGAATGGCATCCCATCCCTCAGGAATGTCAACTGCACCACTCAGTTTGGTGTCATCTGCAAATTTGCTGAGGGTGCACTTGATCCCACCATGTTGTTGATGAAGACATTAAACAGTACTGGTCCCGGTACAGACCCCTGAGGGACATTATGGAGGGGTGCTCTTCAGTATGTTTCTGAGCGTAACGTGATGCTTTATACTGTTATTACAGAAGGTTCTGAAGGAAAAATGCAGTTGGAGCAAAAACTTGAAAATGTTTATCTGCTGTGTTCTTGGTCTGGTTTTCGTTCTTCACAAGCGTGCTATGTTAAACTAAGTTTCAGTGCTATTTCTGGATTATCTTAGTTTTCACTTTTTGCTAGTAATGTTAAAATAGTCTCACTTAAAAGAGATTTCTAGAAAAATAATTGCATATGGATCATTGCTGGAAAGTTTGAATAATTAGCTTAATTCTGCTATTTTTGCAGGACTTCAAGAATATGTTGAGGCAGTCTCATTTCAGTATTTTATCAAAACACGATCTTTGATTAGTGTTGAAGAGATCAACAAACAGCTAATATTTACAGCAGAAGACAGAGAAGAAACAACAAACATGGTAAAAGTTTTTCTTTTCTCATGTAACAAACATCTTTCTGGGATGGAAATGCAATGAGTAGGCTTAGTCATATTTTTGGCATCTGATTAAATAAGGCCGGTTAGAGAAATGATATTAGATATATATGTGAATTTTGACTCACTTGTTCAAAACATGCTTTTTATTCTGACAAGTAGTAAACTAAATCCATGGGATACAAGTTTATAAATTTCACATCCTTTTTATTCAGAGCAAACTGAACTCCTTCTGGTAGGGGGAAAGATCCAGGATAGAGAAATACAAGCAAACAAATTTAGAGGAGGGATTTTTAATGGCTGGGACTGCCTGTACGTCCTGGTGGTGTATAGTGTTGTAGCAAAAGTTGGGGGAGGCAAAAAAATCCAAGGCAGGATGACCTCCATGAATGAACTCTTACTGAACTGGTCACAGGAGGCACTGTATTCAGCTTCTGTTAAAATGCACTGCATGTGTCTTAGCTTGGTCATTTGTAACTTTCCTGGAATGGATCTTGATGCCTCCTCGCAGAGGACAAACTTGTGTCCCATCATACATTAGCCCTAATACCGTATCTGCTGTTTCTTGACTTGCCCGTACTCCTACCCTGCTCTAAATAGAACTTCTTGCGTAGGGACAAACTACTGCCACCAACCACAGTAAACTGGGTACAGTTTGATTGTTCCAGGGGATGAAAGGCTATGCTGTAGCAATGCACCGAAATGCACATTCAGTGCATGTGCAATGTACAGTAATGCACAGCACTACTGCTCTAGATGAATTCCTGAGTCTGCTTCTGTTGAAGGTGTTCTGCTGTAAAGCACTTTTTATTCTTTCTTCATTCTCTTGGTAAAACATTTGCAAAGAAGCCAAATTTTCAGGCTAAGTTCATTTGTTCTGACCAGAGGCAAACTCATTGTGGCACACTTGCTTTAACAAATTGTGAAGCTGTTAACACCTGCATACATGCCTATGACCAGATTTGTGAATTTGGGTGGATAGCATGTTATGGAAACAGGGGAACAGAAAGAAACTGTTATCTCCCAAGTTACCAGTATTTTGGCAATAAAAAGTACTGGAAACTTGGATATAGGAGCAAACCTGTAACTTTGTGCTGAGTTTTCTTCATGAAATATTTTTTTAGCCTTTTTAATGAGTTCAGTTGATATAAAACAGATTTGAGAACTATACCTATCAGCTTCTTGTAGAAAATATATTTTGAAATTCAAGATACTATTAAAAATTATATGATTTGTTTTCATAATGCACAGGTTCTTTGATTCTTGATTGCTTTGGTAGCTTTGGACAGGCCATTTAGGAAAAATTTAAATCTATTAGGCTGAGATCTGTTGGCCAAGAAAAAAAAGCAGCTGCAAATAAATGTTGGTACAAAGACATGGTAATTCTGTTTGCAAATAGAGATGGTAGAAGCAGGGTGTGTTTATCATGCTTGCTAGAAAGGAAATCACATCTCAAGTGGAAATGATGCGGTCATACCTTCTGGTATGGTGGAAGGAGATTAGTACTTGTGAAATCAGACTGTGTGGAAGTGCCATGTGATGTAATTTTCTGGAATGTTTTTAATTACCAGTTACATTAGATAAGTTAGTGTGTATTTGAACCATTAGAGACGTTTTTTTCATAGTTCTCAGTTCTGGACTTTGTTCTGTTCTGTCCTCAGACCTCCAGTTCCCATGATAAACAACAACACACTTGGAGCCTGAAGGTAACACCTGTAGATTACCTGCTGGGAGTGGCTGATCTAACTGGAGAGCTGATGCGGCTGTGCATCAGCAGTGTTGGAAACGGTGACATAGACACGCCTTTTGAACTGAGCCAGTTCTTACGTCAGATTTATGATGGGTTTACTTTCATTGGCAACACTGGACCTTACGAGGTATCTAAGAAGCTGTATACCTTGAAACAGAGTCTGGCAAAAGTAGAGAATGCCTGCTACACGTTAAAAGTACGGGGATCTGAAATCCCAAAGCACATGCTGGCTGATGTGTTCTCCACCAAAACAGAATTGATTGACCAAGAGGAGGGCCTTTCTTAAAATAAGGAGACTGTCACAACTCAGAAGGGAAGAGGACTTAGAGAAGGCTTTATAGTTATGTTTTGTGGGGTTTTGACCCTTCTCAAAGCTTTTTAGGTAGAGACATTTTTAGTTTTGTCTATAAGATGATTGTTTGCAGTGGTAATTTGTAACCAAAAATACCTTTTATGATGTGTAAGAGAACAAATGTTTGACTTTGTCCTCTCCGTATGGAATTTCCTGTATTGCTCCATTGTATCTTCTTTCAGAATGACCAAAATTTCCACTGTGCCCTACACCACTGATCGTCAGTTTGTGAGTCACTTCACACTGTTGTGATTGCTGTTATCAGTTTTCAGTGGAAAAGAAATGTTTAGGTACTGTTATTTAGCATTATCCATGTGTTTCTGCTGAGCCTTGTTTTCTGAGTGGTTGGGTTCTATACTCATGTTGTACCTAAAACAATGCACCTATGTATGTGTAAGTTCACCCCTTGACTTGAAACTGAGGTGGTCTCAAAGGTGCCATACAATTTCTCTCATTAATGCTTTTGAGCATGAAACTGAAACTAAGTCAACTTTCCACCAATTTATAATGGAGCTAATTACATCAGGTAAATAATACTGTGCACTCATTGTTTTGGGGCTCTGTTTAAATTGAGCTTTGTTGAAGTTAACGTTAGTACTTCACAGTTTTGACATGAGCTAGAAAATCCACAAAAAAAATCCCCTAACTGTGGAATATATTGGCTTACATTTTTTGTAATACGGTTTAATGCAGAATCTGACATCTTTCTGTTTGTAGATGAAAGCAGAAGAAGAACCACATATCTTTAGCATGAATAATTTGGTGTTAAGACAAGCAGTTTTTGTCCAAAACAAATGCGGTGTGGTGTTGGAAGTCTGTTCTCCATTGTTTGTGCTGCCCTGAGGACCTCCAGTGGGGTTGAACTGGTATAAGTGAAAAAGGGCTAGGCAAGCTTTAAATATCTGTATCGTGAGCATGTTCCTAGGGAAAGGAAATTGCAAACAGAAATAAGGCAGACATTCTGACTTCCACATTTATCTTTGAGGTGGGTATGTCACCATTGGCAAAAAATCAGGGCTTTCTGACGGTGTCTGAAGTTATGAAAGTCTAATAATGTACATTATGCTAAAGGAAAACAGATAAAACAACATGATCTTTAGACTCCAGGAAATAGGCCTCCCAAATGCAATTGAAAATACTGCATGTTTTTTATTTCCACTTCCATATGCTGTGATACTGCCAATATTTTTCCCATGAGCACGTCCTGACTAGCTGGGATTATCTGATATATGGATAGGAATGGGTAAATACATTTCTGTCACATTTTTCCATTGTTTCCACATAAAGCAATATGTGGTGGGTTGAAAAAGGAGTGGCTTTTTTCCTATTGTTTAATACTATTTTTTACAATAAATTCTGAAAAGCAGTCACTGCCTGTATGTTGGTCCTTTTGCCTCTCGGTCCCAATGGTAGATAACGGTGCAAGTTTCCCACTATGCAGGACTTGACTTGGAAATGTCACTTCAGTTCTAAATTCATACCCTGAGGGGCACTTTCTAATCCTGAATCTCTTTTCTGTTTCTCCCTGACTTTATTTTGTGAAGTTTAAAACCAAGTTAGGATAGAAACTTCATGTGATCCTCTTACATTTCTCCTTGTTTTTTCTCTGCTTTTCTGATGGGAGGAGAGGAAAAAAAGGAGAAGGATACTTATTAATAAGGAATGGTTTTGTTTTGTGTTGTTTTTTTCCCCCAGAAATATATGCATCTAGTATTTCAGTTAATGCAGGTGAGAGTATAGCTCTGTGTCTTTTGGCACAGATAAATTTACTGACAATAATTGCCTGTTGAGTGTATGTATGTGAAGCAAAAGCAGATAGTTACTAGAGGCATTGTGTGATGTTAAACAGAGGTCTGTCTCTTGTCTGCCCTAGCAGCTCTCAGGTGGAATTTAAAAATTTTCATGGCACAGTTTGAAAAGGGATGAGATGAACTCCAGCACATGGCAGTGCTTGGCGAAGAGACTTTCTGTCTCTCGCCATGGAACGAGCCACAGTGGCCACCGCTTTAGTCAGCTCCTGCTTTTGTACAGTCATTATTTTAAAATCACAGATGTCTAAGAAGCATACTGTTTTCTATCAGTCTTTAGAGGTTCTTTCAAAAAATACATATTGGTTCTAATGATTTTGAGATTTCTCTAGCCTTACAGAAAATTTAAAACTTTTTAATGACAGATGTGATTTCTAAACTTCAGGCTGCCTGTCTGCAATCAAAAGCTGTGAATTCTTTCTAATAGGGAGCAAAGTGTGTATATGGTGTATTAAAACACCAGCACAGATGGGAAATAGCGAATGGCCTGCAAACCTCCTGCTCAAGGAAATATTTTCCCCAAAAAACAATTAAACTGTAGCTATTTGAAAAGTGACAGACATTTATCAGCAAAACAAACTGCTAACCAAGCAATGGCAATTTTCCCATTTCTTATCCCATTACTCTGTGGAGCTATTGATATGCTTGGTCTACGGCCAGAACAGGACTACATCATAGCAGATGTTTCATGAGGGCAGCTCTGCGTGCTAAAAATCATCTGCCTTTCTAGAATCTCCTTTCTCAGAAATGATTTTTCTTTATGGGTTCACTGTTGTCCTGACTTAATTTGCAGTGAGGAAAATAAACCCAACCGCATTTAGCTTTCCAGAACTGCCAGAGAAGTTACGCAAGAGAAACTTCCTGTTGACAGGATACCTATGTCTGTCTACTTAGTCTTGCTTACTGGGATTATCAGTGAGTTCATTGAAAATCAAAAGAAAAAAAAAATTAAAACAGGACCTTTATAATATTTAGCATGTGAGGTGCCTTATGGAATTCTACGGACTGGATTCTGGCACTGCCCTCAAAGAATTCACAATTTAAGAGCAGGCAAAAGGGTAGCCAAGACAAACAAAAGATGGTAGAAATAGGGGGGAGATGAAGTGACGAGGGGAGGACAGGATTTTTACCAGAAGACCGTGTGTGGTAGTAGGTTGATATACCGCTTCCTATCCAGAAAATAAACTTGTCAAAACTTCAGAAAGCCTGCAGTGTGACAGAAAAGGGTTAGTTGGGAAGGGCAAAGGCAGTGGAGAGGCAAAATGGAAGGAAGTGAGGTAGAGACAAAGGGGGGAAGAGTGGCAAGGAGTGGGACAGCATGGAGGAAGACCAGGCTGAGCTGCGGGACAGCGGGTGCACATGTGAGTAGGGTGGGACTGGGGAGGATGTGGGACAGGAAGACAGCCCTGCAAGAAGTTGGAAACAACACTTTGAAACCAGGTGACTCAGCTATAAAAGAGATTTGGAGTTGATTGTCGGAGCCAAATTTAAAATGACCACAAGGTCCCCAAAGCATCTCTCTATCCTTGGGTTATAAATAAAAGGGGAACTTGATTTTCTGAGCAGCTGAGAACCTGCAGGTCCTGGACTGAGCAGGGTTTGCAAGCTTCCAGCCATACTGTCACAAATCAAAAAGCTCTTAGCTCCCACACTGCCCAACTTCCCAAGCACGTTCCCTTCACTCCTGTATTGGTAGCCACAAACCTTGATATATGAGCTACCGCTATTTGCAGGTGTTAGAGAATGGTTAGATATAGCTTTTAACATAAAGGAATGCTTACGGTGACCACTGTTTTCCCCTTCCATGCTGTTTACATGTCTGTTTCGCTGTCATTGCTGCTTCAACCCCCTCTCTGTTTCTTCCCCTTCTTTACTTATCCTTTCTGAGGCTGTACCGTTCTTTTGAGCCATTGCCCATGTCCATCCCATGGTCCTTTCCATGTTTAGCTGGCATCCTGAGGTAAAACATCTCCACGCAGGAAGAGGAATCGGTTGTTTTCTTAGGTAGGTTTGTCTACTTGCAGCTCCCAATTTGGAAGCAGCGCTCTGGCTGTGAGGGGAGAGGTCTGGTACTCCTGCACTCAGGTGGCCTGGTGCGTGTGTCCTGTGGCAGCCACAGTCCTGTGTGTCAGGACGGATGGGTGGGCAGATCTCACGTTGCTTTTGTAGGTGAGCAAACCTTAGTTATTCTGAGGTTTGCAATCATCGTGAGCCAAGGTAAATTGCCTACAAACATGAACGAAGTTTCTTCTCCAGTTCTGAGGAAGTTTGTCTTTGAGGAGTGTTATTTCCCACCAACTCCTTTTTACCTGACTCATTATCCCTTTGAAAGACCTATTTGCAGAATGTAGCAGAAGAGACTTGCCCGTGACTACTTCTGGAGCCAGTCGGTGCCTCCCTGGACAGTGGCCAAAAGTGATGTGATGGCTCCTTTCCCAGCTCCTCCCACAGGCCGGGCAGGCTCTGGTGTCCCTCTGGCCAGGGGCTGAACTCTTGAGCCTCCACTATTGGATTTCACAGTCCAGTGACATGTGGGTTCATCCTCTTTTTTTTTTTTCTTTTTTTTTTTTTTTTTTTTTTTCTTTTTTTTTCACCCCCTAGTGGTGGTGTTCTCATGCCATGCAGATGTTTGCTCCTCCCAAAGAAAGCCACTGTTGTGTGGGGCTCTGCTCCTCCACTGCCACAACAGCTCAGGTGACTTATTGAGCCCGGTATAAAAATGTATCTCAGCTACTGGTGCAGTGCAGGCTTCACGGGACATCATCCATCTTTGGGTACTTCTCCCAGAGCCCTGTGCTTTTGTGCAGGCTCACAAGTCCCTTTTAATCCAGAAGGGTCCTTCCACTTCCGTTTATTTCTTCCTCAAGGTCCTCTCCTCCGATGGCCCCTGCAAGAAGAGCTGGCAGAACTGACTGTGCACAAGTGGATCTGGAAATCGCCCAGGTTCTGTTTAGCTTTTGCTAAAACGAGCTTGTGCATGCGTGGGGACAGGAAGCAGGTGGGTGAAGGATGCACTTGAACAGCCAGCCCCGGGTGTTTGGATGTCACGGGAATACTGTGAAGTGCCAGCAGCCTCATTTCGGGGTGTGGGGGGAAGGCGGGTCGCTTCTCTCCTTGCAGCAAGGACTGCCGGTAGGGCCGCTTTGCTCTGTGACCCTCGCACCGCAAGGGCAAGGTGACAGACAGGAGGTGTCGGGGCTGTGCGGACAGTGAGTGAGATGAAGCCGGGCGGGGCCCTATCGCCAGTCCGTCCCGATAACCGCGCTGGGAACGCTGGCGCTGAATTCCCACCCTTCACACAATCCCATTTTCTCAGCGGAACCGGTGGTCCCAACCCTCTCCCCGTGGGCAGCGCAGGCAGCCGGGCGGCTGGGTGCTGACACCTCGTGGTGCAGATCCTTCCTTTGCCTTCTCCTCGGAGCTCTTCTCCAGCCTTTTCAGCTCGGCCTTCGCCTGCGGTGGCTCCCGGCCCATGTGCTGTGGAAGAAATGTTGCTTTACGGGAGCAAAGCCATAGTTAGTGAGTAATTGCGATTCTTCTCCCTGAATTCA